TGGGGGTGCGCAGCCCGGCGCTGCTGGCTTGGAGACACCATTTATTATTAACCACAGGTGCGGCTGAGCTCTGCGACTGCTCGCTGCCTGCGGTGCGGGGGGCGAGGGAAGCTTCTGCGGTTATTTTTGTTCACACCGTGCCAGATTTTCCCCTCCCTCTTTAAAAGACTTCTCGTTTTTCAGACTCTGCGGCTGTAAGATTTTTTTTTAAAATCGGTGAATTCGTTGCTCGCTCAAACAATGCCTCTGCAGACTGAGCCCCTTTGTACCTATTCCTAAAAAAGCAGAGGAATCGCATTCATGCCTTCCCCACAACTTCACGAAATGCAGCTGTTAAGCTCTTTCTTCTCAGGGTAAGAGCTCTGCCCAGCTCTCGGCCTCCCCAGCCAAGAAAGCTGTGCATCTAAAGCCCGTTGTGGCGATACGCCATGCGACGCAGACGCCTGGCGACACTGAGAACACAAGCTGGATTCACAGAGAAAAACTATCATAGCCTCCTACTGTAAAGACAGTCTATTCTAACAAGTTTAGAGTGGCTTTGAATGAGGACTTTGAAATTAATAAATCTTTGTCCCTTCATAATGAGCCAGGACACTTTGAGAGCTAATGCACAGATATTACGCATGTTTCGATTTTGAAGTCTACAGAAAATATCAGAGTTCAGAGTTCATGAAGGAATTGATTTACAGGAAAAAGACAGATATGCTTCTATGCAATTGCCATGCAGAACATAAAACTAGCTTAAGTAATTGCTAGTGTATTGCCGAAGTAATCAGTGTCAGGGAACTGATTTTACTGCAATCCATTAATCAGGAAACTGTAAACCATAGGTTGTTAAAGCAGTTTTTGCACTTTACACTTGTCCCTTTCAAGTTTCCTGCAACTTTTGTTTAGCAGTCATGAATGTCATCTTCTTTTCTACACCCTTCCATTCTTTTCAGATAAACACAGTCAAGGAAACTTCAAACAAAGCTTGCTAAGTTACAAAGACAATCCACCTCTGACTTCTGCTATGCAGTCTGGAGGGAATTTAATTGCAGGAATGGTAGATTGCATCCTCTGATACCATAAATGGATGCTGAAGATGATGTAAATGGTATCTTTTTCCTGGGGGGATGGGCAGCCAGAGGTATTGAAAAGAAAATGTGTAGGTAAAATTACATTTTTGAAAAATATACAAAAATTATAATGACTTCATTTTACTTTCAGTTAGATCTACTTGGAAAGGCTGCAGTACTGCAGGAACCTAGCTGGACTATCACATTTTTCGCATGCTACCAGATGATGATTCAGGAACAAAGCCAGTCACTCAGTTTCCGACTGTCACGATCAAGATCATCTCAAAATGATCTTATGCAGTGGGCTCCCAGTTCAGTCTGCTGTATCAGATGAAGTCAGGGCTAAGAGTGTTTTGCCTTTTTTGTCATTTTTCCCCTTAAAACAGATGGAAAATCTGCCTGTTGGATTTCTAGATCAGCTTTCCAATATGAACTTGCAGGTCTCTGAGCAAAAACAGAGCCACTAAAGCAGCTGAGGGCACATCTGCATCTTATGCACATCCCAGGTTTTGGATTTGTCTTCTGGGTTTATTTCAATGGAAATAAGAGCTCATAAAAGAAATTTTCAAGGGCTAACTGCATCTTTTGTTCTACTAGAAGAGCCACCGAGGCTTGCTAAACTGAGAAGAGAATGGGCCAGTTTGATACCTGCTAGCCCCTGAGCGGCAGGCTGGCCATGCTGCTCCAGGCATGTTTCTGAAATGCGATATATGGCTGAGGATGGTATAGGGGCTAGCGTGACACGATCACAGTGCGTAGGTGACTGCGAGAAGAGAAAGCCCCAGAGAACTGCTGGAGATAGTTTTTGTAACAAAACGTGGGGGCTGCATGTAACTTGCTCCTCTGCTTGCTGCAGCGTTAGATGACTTTCCAGTCCCATCTGCCCGCAGTGATCCAGAGAGCTTGCTGCTGGTATTTCCCCCTCCGGGCCTCAGAAGTAGAGGTTAATATTAAACAGGTTGCTGGGTAAAACGAGAGCAGCTGGGAACAAAGAAATCGCCAAGGCAAATTCCTACCGCCTGCTGAGAGCTGGGCTCACGGACCACCCTTGCCTTTTCATCTGTGAGTTACCACCGCCTCTGAAACCTTTTCTCTCTCGGGGATGTCACTACCAAAGGCACTAGGGAAATGAAAAACTCGACATTAATTTTGTCACATTGGCACGTCTGCCTTGGGGCAGTATTTTCCTTTCCCTGTACCTGATTTGTACGAGTCTATTAACCTGCGGCAGTTCTGCCAGCTGGAATGTGCCTAGTGGCGTCTCTCTGTCCTAAAGCTTGTTTCTGGGCCACCAGCACCCAAGAGATGTACTAGGGACGTGTGGAACCACGCAGAACACACTTATTTAACCATTTATTTATTTTACCTTTGTGTGAACTGTGGTGCCTGGAACTGGCTGTCTTGCCAAGGCTGCTATGCAAGGCAATCATCTAACCGAAGGCCTGACAAAGGCGCTTTTGCGATTTAGCCTGTCTTTAAAGGCTAACATCCGCCTACTTTTATCAGCAGATTTTAATGATGATTCTAATGGCTCCAAAACAACTTTCCAGATTACCTTAATGGCTTGGTGATAAAGTATTTGATTTTTTTTTCCCCTAACATGAAGTATTTTTTTCTCCAGCTATCTCTAACAGAACATAAAGCTGAACATACAAACCTGGTGCGGTTTTTGAACTTACATTTCAGTGTTGAACATTGTATGAAAAATGCTCTGAGGTGGAATCAGCTGTGGAAAATAATTTTCCTCTTGTTAATATCAACTTTTTAAAAAAGATCTTCCTGATTCTTGTGGCTCAGTTTTCCATTGAACACCCGGGCTTTCTCGCCACAGGGATTTGTGGAACTGAATATACAAACTATCTGGCACTGATCACCATGCTGCTGATCTCAGGAGCGAGTCAGCTGCTGCTTGTGACTACCAGCCCTGCACAGAGAACATAGATCAAGGTCTTTATCTGATCCCAGCTCCTGATCTCGGGTGGAGGTTGCTTTTGGGCAACCCTGTTCATTTCCGAGAACTAAACATCTCTGCGTCCAGGCCTCTGTCCACT